TTTATATATACAATGTACAGGAATTCTACTATTTGAATGTCACGGACGTTATGTACTTTTTACTATATTTTTTTGCTTCTCTTTATATTTATAATGACATTCGCACACAATAATAACGTGCAGACATTTAAATAAGAGAATAAATGTATACATATATTTATATAATTATATATACACACACCATCTTTAATAGTATCTTCTGGTTTCAAAAATGGTACGTGGTGGTTTGTCTGTAATGACTTTATGCATCAATTTTCACCAGTTGATACCAAAAAGATGAAACTTAGATTTAGTTTTTCTTTTTGGTAGTTGGTGGCAGGGCATTTGGGCTTTTTCACGCAATTCTGATTGCCCAACAAATGGTTCCATTCCACCTAACCTAAATATATATATATATATGCTAAATTGTAGAATATCTATAATAAGGGATTAATGCACCTGATTAAGAAAGATTAAAGCTATGATCACCAAAATGATTGTGAGAGTGGGTCCTAATTTGACTAATTATTGTAAAACCATGTCAATTTCAGCAGTCATTTTCATTTGCATGTTGAATGCATAAAAACATATATATTCTGCACAAGGAAAAAGCACAACAATTTCTTCCTCATTCATAAATTAAAGAATTAAACATGGCATCAAATCAAGACTAATCAGTGAGCTTTGCGGGGCTTAATTTAGTTGTGATAATTTCCATATATAGGGAATTTTAATTGGGTTCCTCTCCTAATAGCTTGAATATAAATGTAAAGTCCATTAGTAAATTTAGCAGCTGAATTTGCTGTCAACAAAGTAACAATCTTGTGACACAAGGAAGTGTGTGTCTCTGTCTACAAATGAATGTGTCTTCAACTTTAGGAGAAGAATTTGTATGTCATGGGAGTATTAGCTTCTCCTTCTCCTCTGCAATATATATATACGTCAAATTGACATAAATAGTAACTTAATTTGCCACCATTTGCAGGTATTGGAGGTCATGGCATCAGAAGGGGACATAGATAAAGAGAGATGGAAGATGCCAGAGGAGGAAGAAGAGCAAGATGAGTTTTGGGGTTTTGAGGATCTAGAATATGAATGCAATAACAGTTCCTTCTCAATTTCTCCACATGGTTCCATTTCAACAGGAAGTTGTTGATTAAATTAGCATCGACGTGTACATATTGATTTACAGATGTTTGGTGTATATATAAAGCAAGCATGGAGACAGAGAGAGCTGCTGTTAGCAAGGCCACTTCACGTGATGAGATTGTTATAAAACTTGTAGTGATTTGACTCCACAGCGCTGGACATCACTTCCCAACACTTTTTTCATTTACTTTTTTTTCAAATATCTTTCATGCTTTTGCTAGATTGAGAAAATTGAGACTGAAAAAGGGACTGATATGGTGGGATATGTTTAATTTTATACAAATTTATAAATAAACCCAATCCTAGACATGTATTTATAAAAAAACTCAAGCACTATTTAAACATAGAAACACACCCAAAATCAACCCCAAAGTCAACTTTTTGGGTGTGTTTATAAATGGGTTTTGAGTGTGTGTAATGATGGGTTTTGGGTGTGTTTATATGTTTAAATAGTGCTTGGGTTTTTTTATAATTTCAACCCCCATTTTGGGTGTTTTAGTGAAACTCCCTTAATTTTATGCATTTCAGTCACCATTAATTTTGATTTTTTTATTACTAAATTTTTGGTTTTGGTGATTTTTTATTCATTTAAATACAAGCGATAATCTAAAGCAGAAGAACATAAAAGGGTTTTCTCACATACACTATCAACGTATCGTAAAGATTTGAACTTGAGACCACTAACCTGCAAATCTACTAGGTTAGACCTCATTGAAGTGTTGGTGATATTTTAAATATAAATGAAAGCTGCCGACTTGGGAGAAGTAACATGCAAGACAAACAATGACATTTGACATGCATAAAGAAATCAGGCAAGGACACATATCATGCATGAATTGTCATATAATACAGAAAAACAACTCATTATATGATAAGGTAAAAATAATAACTTGGGATAAGATGTACGTATGTCATAATAGTTTTAGGTAGTGGGATATAAATATCAGAAATTGCTCTAACATGAAAAAGGGTTCTTACATCATCCCACATGTTGTACTTTTATTTTTATTTATTATTTCTTTTTAAGAAGAACGTGTTGTACTTCAAGTGGATATTATTGGCCTACAAAAACAGGCGAGAAGGCTGAGATTAGTAAATACTTTAAAATTCACAATTATACTAATTACTAATAGTTGACAAGTACTAAAAAAAGAGTGAAACGACATTATTTTAGTGTAATTTTCAACATAGAGTGAACCGGTTATTATATACCAATCTACAATATTTGGTACGTTGCCGATATTTCATCGGTATCGTTTTGATATTTAGTAATAATCTGTATAATACAACAAGAGTGAGACAAGGAGTGCTTTCATGAGAGCAGCTGGCAAAGAGTAAGTCTTCCTTATTGTCATATAATATAGACAATATTATTGAGGGCTGAAATGATCGTAAGTATTTAAGAAACACAAGGAATTATAATTTCCGTTGTATTTTTTCCCTGGTTTTTTGTGATTATTGAGTAATGATTTATATTGGACAATTAATCTACTTGCTGTCATGACAGAAGGCATGTATGGTTCGAGCCCTACCCAAAAGGTCCAGTAAAGCTGTCACTGATGGAACCCAAGGCAAACTTTTTTTTTTTTTTTCCCTCATAATTTTGTATGCCAGCAACTCATCTTTTAAATAATTGTGTTGCTACATTATTTTCATGCAGCTCCATTGCCTACGTCAATCATTGAATGACACTTTCTAATGATTAAAATTAATTGATGCTTGATTAGTTTTGGGCACACTCATTTTCTCATGAAGTAAGTCTGGTCACATGATATAACTTGTTCCCATATTATAATACTATTCTATAATTTCTCGAGGCGATCTTGGAGTTGATCATTAAAAATGCTGAAAATAATAACAATAATAATTTTAAATTTAAGAATCGACTTTCAATTGCATTATTATATATATAGCCAAAAGTCTTCCTTTATTATTTTCCTTTCATGTTTTGGATATGTATGTGTCAATGTAAGCTAATCATAGGCAACCAGGTGACAAAAGTATCCTACCAAAAATAGAATTGGATTAATATATTGAACAGGTGCCCAGGAGCAGTTATGTCCATATATATTAGAAAAACATAGTGATTAGAGACAGAGATAATGTATGTATATGCATTGGAATGAATTAATTTCAAAGGAATTTAAGAAAGCTAGCTATTTCGAAATAAATAACAAATAATAAAGTATGGCTTTACATGCAAACACAGTGGCAGTTGATATTAAAAAAAGAAAGGTGGCAGAAAATGGACGGTGCATGTATGCTCAGAATACCATTATTCTGAGGCCACATATCATGTGCAGTGTGTTAGGTGAACAGTAACCATCCACAGCCGCAGCCAGAGAGAGAGAGAGAGAGAGAGAGAGAGAGAGAGAATCTGTATCGGATTAGTGGGTTGAAGGGTTGATCATATAATATTTTTGTTTTATAAAAATGTTACTTGAAGTTGTGATTAGTGGGTTGAAAGTTGGTTAACTTTAAAAGACTTGGGGAATAATAGGGTGGTGCAACGACAATAACTATAATGCTCTAAAACAGGGGTGCCCTGGAGCTTTTAGGAGAAAACTATGGCGTACAAATTTAGAGTTGTTGATCAGTGCCCTAATTTAATTAAACTATTATTGGAGAGAGTTTTGGTGGCTTGACAAAGCTTGCTAATGACGTTTTTTTTAAAATAATACGTATTACTATGATATTAGTTAATATCCACTCTCATTAGCCTTATTAATTGTTTTTTTTTTGAGAGCATATTAGCTTAGTTATAGTTTAACAAACTTAAACGGTTTCACCAGACTGTCTTAGTTTTGATCTTAGATCGCTCCGTTATTATAATGGCCATTTGTGGCTAGTTTGAATTGGTTCTTTGTGGCTAGTGACTTATTTGGCTGAATTATGAATGCAATCCTAGAATTCCTCAACAACAAAAAAAAGTTTCAATAAGGAGCCTATAGATAAGAGAAAGGGCTTGCTTGCTATCCAATATGTTCATTACCAACTTTCTATGTACATTGTATTTGACTGGCTAAATAGATTTACGGGAGCTATAGTATGGCATATATTCTCCTATGTAATATTTTATATTGGTGGTGACTAATATTCTCTTATTAGACTATTTTACCAGATAAATGTTGATAAACTGTATATCTAAACGTTCAGAAATCAACGTGATGATGATATAAATGACTTAATTTTATCAAGAGAACGTTTCTCCTTGTATGAATTTTCACGTATGCATGAAGTTATCTGTAAGATTGTCTATCTACAAAATAAACAATGTTTTAAAGTAGATCAGTGTGGAGGCATATAGCACTCTACGATTTTAAAACTACTAGTGAGACAAACCACTATTAGAATTTGGACATTGGTCTCAAATGCAACAAAAAGCACTGTTTTGGTTCATATACCACATGCGCAACATCAAGCTATAGGGGGTTACAGACGTTGCCATTGCCCTTGTTTTTCAACAGCATTCTGCTATGTGCATTCATATGATTTTACGCGTGGATCATAATGCATAAACAATGGAGAGTGATTAACTAGTACCGGGTACCAATGTACAGTATTTGGTATACTACGGATATTTTATCGACGTTTCCACATAACTATCAAGTACGAACAAAATATCGAATAAAAATCGACCATGTACCAAGCACTGTATAGCAGCACCCGGTTTCAAACAATCTTTTCCCAAACAATGAATTGTGACTTCTTGCTTCCAGTCTACTAGAATAGATCCAACTTTCTACGGGCCAACCATGCTACATGAGAGATGCTGATTATGGTATAAAATACCAACTTAGCAAATTGATTTCAAAATACAATGAAGCTAGCCTTAGTATGATTCAGATAAAGGTTCAAAGTACTGTTCAATAAAGCACACAAAAGAATTTAAGATACAAACTCATCAAAATTTACAAAATTTTCTGTAGAAATATAGGACTACAAAATTGTGCTGTAATCGTCCACTTTAAATTACAAAATTTCTAAAGACAACGGAAATTCAATTGGATGTGAATTCCGTGCTTCTCATACGGCCGTGTACTTCGGTCAACGATTCAAAATAACTCAAAATCATAACCCTGGCCGAGGCTTCTAAATTTGCAAGTTCTAAGTTCCTTAGATTTGACTTGGTGTTAGCATCATTTATATCGCATTCAGTTTTGCCTTCTGCCCCAAAGCCACCAAATCTATGTCACACCCCAGCATTATCTTTGTTGAACAACCAGGCATCTAAACCTTCTTCACACTTTCGCCTGATCTAGATTGCCAGTCGAGGGCAACAAACAGGTTATTCTACGGTGGCAGTCCTCTTTTCTAGCAGTGATTCCATAAATTCTGAACACAGTTTGGTGAGGGGCGGAAGATTATGTGATGACCCACTAAATAGGGTCTCCCAAGGCCTCTGTGATGGGGCAGATGGGGCCAAGAAGGCCTGATCTCTCTTTAAATCAAACCGCGGTAGCTCCCCATAGATAGATGCATATCCAAATTTCCCTGTTAAATGAAAAATTAAATTAGCATCAAAATAAAACACTTTAATATGGGTACACACATGTACAAACTCAAATATCATTCATCATTATGAGGTCCTCGAACACAACAGCTGCATTAGTTATAACTTCTTCAACTGGCTTAATTTCCCAAGCAACTCAAATTATGGTGCTAATTCTTCAGTTGGAAAGCATATATAGTATGCATGTAGTTCAACTGACATAAGACAGACCACTAAACCAATTCCTGTCACAAAAGCTTACGTATCGGCATATAATCAACTTTTTCTAACCTTTTCCCTTGAATATTTATGATACATATGTTAACGTATGTATGTATGCAAACTCTATCTGTACATGGGGACAAAAAGTTAACCCATGAATATACAGTAACTTTTCATTCCAAACTGAGCTTGAAACTCATGGCGACTATAGGCATCTCACTTCCAACTAGAAAGTCTCCTTGAATATTTAGACCTAAGTCAATACAACATACACATTCATATTCTTCTTGAACACAAGTAGTATACGCCCTTTTTTTTTTTTTTTTTTTTTTTGATAATGCACCACAACAAAAGATCTAATTCAAGTCTCATTTTTAATCTGACAAATTATATATACTATGCTATGTTAAATGGCACAGGACAAAATACAGTGATATGAAAAATTTACAAAAAGTTGGATACAGAATCATCAATAAAATAACATATACTATATTCGATGCATGTTAAAAAAAAAAAAAAACAATTATAAATCGATTCCTTGTTCAAGCGTCATGTTCATCTTTAATCAATCACACACAAAAATAACACAAAACTAATGCACAGTGAAGCTCTACCTGTTTCATCAAGGGCAACATGACTCTCCCGCTTGGTTAGACTAAGTTCATTTGTTTCATTGCCATATGGGTCAAAGATGATGTACTCATGGTCACCATTCATGTACACAAGTAAAGTTTGTGGTGGTTTCCCATCTAAAATATTATATTGGAAGGAATGCTGGTTCCCGTTCAGAAAAGCAAGACCCCCACCCTTAGCCTGAGATATAAGCACAGAGGATTAGAATACAATTCATTCTTTTCTAATACCATGAAGTGCAATTACAACACAGAAAAGCATCACGAATTCATGCCTGTAGAGTTCGGATTAAAGAAAATAATTGTGTAGATTTGTGTCCCTTGAAAGAGTTGGACCTTTCAAACAAAGTGACAGGAGAAAATGCAACCACACTTTTTATCAGAGAGGAACCATCCTCCTGCCTAAAATAAATTAATAAACCAATAAATAAGGCACACAAATGTGCACAGACCAGAAATCAAGCAGTTGAGTTATTTTCTCTTGAATTCTAGGTTTTTCCTGGTTTTGGTTTTCCTCTCTTAGGTTTTTTCTTTCTCTTGGGTGATGATTTATGGATTCATGCATCTGAAAACACATTTCAACATGCATGTCCATATCCATAACAGCCTCAGATTCTGTATGACACTGCTGTGGGGACCAAATTATAGATTTATATCTTTGTTCATAGAAAAACAAATAAATCAGTTAAGTCTTAATGTTAATGAAGGTTAAAGGCAAAATAACACTGCATCATTTCTTATATTTTTAGTTAAATGGATTCTAAGTGTAAAAAGAAAATGGGGAAGCATATACCAGAATGGCTCTCAACAAAAGGCAGAGATTTTAAGCACAGCATACCTTTCTTACAGACCACATGGCCAATGGAACAGGATCTGTCGCATTGAATAATAAGATTACCCCATCTTTTCCTAAGAGAGAGGGTTCATTAGAGCCCATACAAGCAGATGATTTGGGAAGAAGGGCAAGAACTGCAAACGATGATGAATCTGGCGCACAGGTAACATCTGAAAAATGCACAAATAGCAGAATTTCAAATCAAAGTAGGATGCCAGTGACATGACTGTCATGATCAGTAAATAAAGGAACATTCAATTCAATGCTAGTGGAATAAAGAATGGGACACAATGTTGTCAGCGTCATTCTGAGCTCTTTGGGAGTTATAAACATAAGCCTAGCTGGTTGAACCATTATAAAGTTCATGTGATTAGGAAAACCTCAAGGAAAAGAAATAAAAACACACGAGAGATGCAAACCTTCTATGTGAAGCTTGTACGACCAAGATTCAGATAGTTTTGACATGCTCCACACCGATAGCTGTGGTTTTGAACCTTGGGAGACAGACACGAGATACTCTGATTTCCCAGCAAAAGACAGGGTCACAATTGGCTGAAAAAAATGAAAACAGCTACATGAGAGGGTGAGAGAAGCAATTCATGAATACTGAATGCAGTCCGCTGAATGGTTTTTCTATATCTTCTAGCAACATTGTAGCTTGAACCAGCACAAAGCATAAACATGATGTGGTAAACATGATAACAAATAGCATATTCTAAAGATACTCCCCATTACAGGCCTTTTAAGACCACCCTTACAAAAATTTACTAAATAAATAAAGACAACCATGCTCAAATTGGAGCAGTAGGGAGGTCTGAAATTCTTCCATAAATGAAAGATCAAGTCCCAAATGAAAAGATTGGAAATAGACAGGCCATGACTGGTACTTTTTCATGCACTAATAAAATGATTCACACAAAATAATATATGTTTCTGAAAAAGAATAATCCAAAGACAATTGGGATCTGAAAAATTCACCATCTGTGCCTCTCCAATCACAGCCACAAGTGCATTGTTGTTAGGGTCCCATAGTGTAATTACAGTTTCGGCTGCAACAGCCAGAACAGAACCGTCAGCAGAAAATGCAGTAGCTGTCATTGGCTTCTTCCTGCAAGGGAAATCATTGTTCATAATACTGAGAGTTTTCAAATAAGTTCATGTGTGATGAAGACAACCAAGAACCAAGAGTTTTGAATAGGAGGTTATTATATATGTGCCGAAAACATCTGATCTGTACATTATTCTATTTTATTTTACCACTGTATTATATCCTCAGCAATTTTTTTGCATTAAGTATATCCACACATGAGGTGTCAACTTTTTTTCTAAAAAGAAACAAAATTTCGTTGAAGGAAAATGAAACAGTTTAAAACAGATGACAAGGTGTACACTGGTCTATAAGACCTGAATCCTGGCAAGTAATCTCTAAGAAATAAAAAGACACAAAGAACAGGACTCTAATACACCTACAGCATCAAAAGCTTTATTGAACAAAGGCCCAAGACCAAGAAATCCACACCGCAAAATTCGCATAGCTTCTATGACTAACCAATATTCAGTTACAACATCAACATTGAGATCTGAGCAACAGCCAAAATAAATTTTGTTCATTAAACACATAATAGAATTTTAATAATTCATTCATAACTTTAGACTATTCATGAATTAATCATGTCTTAATAGTTAGTAAATTTTAAAAAAAAAACGAGTAAATGTAGGATATTCAGACTGCCTCGACAAGAAAGTTTTGTCTTCCAAGATAAAGGGGGGACATACTTGTATGAACCTACAGCGTGACACATCCAACCAGAATGTTGCAGTGCCTCATGTTTCTGCTGAATCTCATCACTGCAAACCCAAATCTGAAACCGTGAAATATATTTGTAAATTTCAAAAAGAAACAGAATCCTCAACAATAAATATACAAATCATTCAAAATTACCTTGAAATCCCCACCATAAGATGAACTGACAACCATATGACGGGTAGGATGGAAAGCCAGAGAAGAAATTCCAGCATCCCTATACAATAAATGAATATTCAGCTTCACAACTTTGTAGCATATAAGAGATTGTAAATTAAGAAGATACAAATTTTCCTTGTGCTTAATAAGTTTAGTAGGAATTGACAGTCTATCATAAGCAGGGCACTCAGTGAATATCACAACTGAAGAAAAATATCAAATTCTGCCAACTACACTTTTCTAGGTAGAATCAGTCAAGTCCAAACCTGTGAGGTTCGTAAACAATGGTGGACATGGTGAAATTTTTGTCCTGTGATCCTGATGCCCAAAACTTAAGACAAACAAGACCACCTAATCCCTCCTCAGGCAGCTTAACTTCAACAGTGCTCATTATAGAGCCATCTCCAGATAGAGACACCAAAGTCACTATTACCTGTGACCACAATATCCCAAGATATCGTCAAATTAGTGAGGAGATGTTTTAGTAGAATGTAATAAATGAGATGGTGCTCTCAAGCTATAAAGTAAAATGAGCAACTTACTCTGATTTCATCACCTGGTTGATGGTTTCTCTCACAGACTTGAACCTGCGAAATGCCCAATCCAAAATAACTTAAGTCACATATAATCACTTATAAACAACAGAGCAATCTCTCTCTCTCTCTCTCTCTCTCTCTCTCTCTCTCTCTCTCTCTCTCTGTGTATATACATTATATATATACACATACATATACTTTATGTATGGGAATAAATTTGATGCACATGAAAAGGAGAAGGAGCAAGTACATGATGCATCCAACTGGAAGATCCTCTAGTGGCCCAAAACTAACAACAACAAAGCAATATCAACCTTTTTAATTTACAAGACTAAAACAACACAGACTCACCAAAAGTATATTTATTCAATTGAGAAAATATATTATGTCGATAAATATTTCAATTTAAAACCATTTTTCTCTTCCCAACATGTACATACAACCACAACCACAACCACAAACATATTTATCAACACAATAATTTCACATAGCTAGCAGCTTTGGCTAGTACTTGCACCTAGGAATTTATGTTGTGGGTATTTATTTACCAATCAACAAACTCCCTTACAAGGACAATTAAAAAACCCAGAAAGCAATAAAAAGTTCTCTGTAGCAAATTCAACAATTATCCATTGAAACATCAAATAAACAACAAAACATCTTCACCTCAGAAACTTCACGGTCATCAAATAAGCTGTAGAATTGGATTCGATAATTCTCTGTACGCAAGGCAACCAACCCAGCAGTGTGATCAAAGGCAAACCTGTTGCATATTCCTTCATATATCTCTGGAACTGAATAAGGAAGCTGAAAAGTAAACAGTTCTAATTAGAAGCTTTGCCATTAGTTTATTTCTCACATAAATATGCTGGAACTAACTTCACAGGCAGATTCACAAAAGGTGAATGAATCCATCAAAACATTCAGCAGCCATCCTGGCACATTCATAAAAAAGATAGCTTAAGCACCAGCTCACTCTCTCACACATGCACACATTAGCATTCAACCCGAATGCAGGGTTAGAGATTTAAGGCTCATCTTAAGGCAAGGCAGTTATAGAATGTCTCAGCCCACTATTATTAAAAATTTCATCACGCACATAAATCCTGGTATATCCCTGAAAACATACAGCAGCAATGCTGGTAAATTCATACAAAATGTAGCTTAAGCACCAGCTCATTTAATCTCACATATGCACACATTAACATTCAAGCTGGAAGGCGAAGCCGTTCTAGAATGTCTCCATCCTATATTAAGTAGAAATTTCATCCTCCATATACATCCCAGTCAAGGTATGGTGCAGACTTTTTGATGTCCTTTTTATCACACTTGCCTCACAAACAAAGGACCAGTTGACTCTAGCCTGCTCATCAATATACACCATACCTGTAGCCAGGTCCTAATGATGTGCACTGTCAACAGTGTACCCTACTAATCTGTGTTTCTTACGAAAACATAATGTTTTTACTAATAACTGCTACCTCAATCTACTAAACGTTTATAATAAGTCAATAACACACAATAGAATGGTTTTGAGAGACACAAACCAGAATTTCCAATTGAAACAAACCTTGATCCCTGAAATAGACTTCACGATTTCCATTAAGGGCATTTTTAGTATATGAATTTGATTATCTGCACAAGATATCTAAAAACCATATATCAGTGAAACCAGTAGAATTCATTAGTTCCTCACCACAGAGAATGCACAAATATGTTAATTGAAAATCTTCTTACAGAAGAAAGTGAAGGATCTGGAGAATCAGTCAAATATAGAAGCGGAGATCCAATTCTGGGCAAGAATTTCTTTTTCCCTGTGTCTAGCTGCCAGACCACAAGAACTCCTTCCACTCCGCCTGGATACCACAGAAGTGTCAATATATATGACACTTACAAATTAAGAAATTCAGACAAAGAAATGGGGGGCAGGGAGGGAGAGATATGATGAGGAAAGGGAAAGACATATTCCAGGTCCATTTTCACCTGCACTTGCTCAAAATCCACATACCTGAATATAAATAGGCTCCGTCAGAAGAAAAAGAAAGGACACTTATTCCAGCAGGATGCCAATGCCATGTGGTGCAAGAATCAGCATCATCATCTCCCCTAACTCCAGGTCTTTCTTCCTCATTATTCATTGATGTTCCATTTTCTAGTTTGCCACCATCAGAAAACGTACGATTACCAAACCCTCTCCAGGTTAGAATTCTCCCACTTACATCACCTGCGGCAACAATTGTCTTGGTCGGATGAAATGCAAGAACCGTCAAGTTTCTTGTATGATGCAATGTAATCTTCTTAGAGACTAAGAGTTTAGAATCTATAGCAGGGACCCTCCATATATGACTCTTCCGCTTGTTCCGGATGCCAAAGAATTTTCCCGAGGGACCGACAGTTATAACCTCTGGTTCTTGAGTCTACCAAATTGAGTAATAATATCAATATCAAATAGGGTATAAATACATCAGCAGACAACATATAACAATACATGATAACAGATAGCTATCAACCAATACGAAAAAGGACTAAACACATAAAGTCATAGAGCTTTGTAATAAATAATATCATTGCACTTCCTTTTTGTTTCCTTCATATACGCAATAGAAAAAACCTAAAAGCAAATAATTTGTAGTAGATTTTTGCACCTCTGCGAAAACACCGCCACCCAAACGAGATTCAGTCAAATCACACTTCCGAATCTGCCCACGCAAAGCCTTCGGTGCATTTGCTTGCACTTGGGTATTCTCAACAGACAAGTAAGCAAAAACATGAACCGGCAACGCACTTTCTTGCATTCCTTTCTCCGGTTGGCCCAAAAAGGACGGAATAACCTGAAAATCAAAACCAAACAACGCTACCCATGAACATTCTCTCGGTTCCCAAACAGAAAATAAAAGAATAACAATAAATAAAAAAGCAACCAATCTAAATAAATACCATAGAGAAAATGGGCATTTTAATATCAATGGTCTTCATCAACTCAGCGACTGCAAAGTCCCAATAGCGAAGGGTGCCGTCGAGGGAGGCAGTCCAGCAAAAGCTCAGAGCTTTGTTTCCGGGAACTACTATGACGGAGGTGACCAAGGCATTGTGAGCCTCCAAGGAAGCTATCTAAATTAAACAAATAAAACCAAATATTATCATAAGAGGGAGGGTATGGGAGCGTAAATTGAGGAGGAAGAGGAAGGTAGAACTGGAAACCTGTAAACCGGTGGAGGTGCTAAAGATGGAGACGACGGGGCCTGTGCAGACGAGGAGGCGCTTGGCGTCGGTGGAGAAGGCCGGAGGTGCTGACACGTAACTCTTGCCGCCAGCAATCATCTCTCTGTCTCTCTGTCTCTCTGTGCAACTGTTTGAGTTTGAGAATTCAGAGAGTTGAGCAGCCTCCCTCTTAGTGTTTTGGAGGGTTTTTGTTTTAGGGGTTTAAGACTTTGGCTACCGAGAGTTCTTCTACATTTTTTAACGAAGAAGCCGTCGAGGGTCCCTTCAAGCTTTCTTTTTTATTTTTTATTTTTTATTTTCTTACTTTAGGGCCCACGCTAAGGCCCAATTAACCACATAAGAGTGGGTTTTGCCCGATCACAATACTTTGAGAAATTTTCACCAAGCAGTTTTTACTCTTCCCATCAAAGAAAGAAAAATCAATGGAAGCTCGCCCGTTCCCTAAATTTATTGGCCCGATCACAATACTTTGAGAAATTTTCACCAAGCAGTTTTTACTCTTCCCATCAGAGAAAGAAAAATCAATGGAAGCTTGCCCGTTCCCTAAATTTATTGGCTTTGTGATATAATTAAAGGTTAGTGGGTCTTAGGTTCGAGGACCGGCACCGATCGGATCAACGTATTACCAGAAAAATCAATGTCGGGAAACACAAATGGGGAAATCATGAGAGCTAGGAAAATGGTCCATTAGGGGCAATTGCCCCTACTAGCTATTGGTGATTTATAGTTGGGAAAAACATAAAACAGCAGAAAGTAACAGTTCGAAAAATGGAAAAAAGGGAAAATTTGCGTACAGAGTAGTTGATAGGTCCAAGTCAAAGGGAAATATTTTGGATGGACATGAAATTATGATCCAAAAAATTTCAACTTTGGCACGCCCAGATCATATATGGCATCTGAAAGTTCCAAAATACAAAAGTTTCAAAACAAAACCGAATTACATGGGAATGAATCAAGGGAAGGAAAGAGTTAGCCAGTCTCTTATTTAAGCAGTTGTAACAACACATGCGAATATAGATTAAAGAATAAAACTATATTTTCTCTTCCAAAAAAAAAAAAAGAAAAAAAAAGAAAGAATAAAACTATATATTTGAACTGCATATACTGATCATCAAATCACATCTCTCACCCCCAGATAAAATGATATTAAGAGGTAATGCTCTTCCATAAACACAATTGAAGAAGAAAATGGCATTTCATTGATTAGTTATCATATTTACAGTCACATACTTATATACAACCAAGTGATCCTTTAACTAGCCCAACAGAATTATTGCTCATCAATACCTAATCCTCTTAAGTATAACTATAAATACAACTGAGAATATATTTAAAACTATATCCGCAGTGTTCTTCTGTTATTATGTTTCCTTCCGATATCCTTCTAGTGAGCCGGCAGACTTGCTTCCTTCTGCTGCTGGCAGCTTCCCCTCAGAAATGCTACTGCATGTATGGTTTGCCTAGATGAAGGGAAATTGAATTTGTGCAAAATATATCCTTCCACTCGTAGCATGTTCCACCTAATCTGGATGATTATGAAGGACATGTATCATTCAACTTTTTAATAGCAGGGAGTTGCCAAAGCCCAAAGGTGATTGCTTATTTCTGTGGCCTAGAAAAAAGAAACAGAACAAGAACAAGCCATCTAATGAGACTCACGGATTTAAAAAAAAAGAGTAAGTCTAGGAGTAGAGAGCATCAATGTTTAGAAATTAAGACAAGGGCATTTCTCTTTTGAAAGCTTCCACCATGTTTTTGCAGGATTTGATTGTTCATGGATTTTGGGATAGATTTTGAAAACCAAATTCTTACTTGCAAGCTAAATAATTAAAAACAATGAGTAAAACAAGGATCATAAAACCTTGAAAGTACAATGTTATAAATTCAAGAGAGTTGGTAGATAAATGAAAATTGAATGATGAGCAAATACATACCTAGCCTCTGGTAAATCATTGATTCGATGTTCTGGAAAAGGGAAAGGAAGCGCTTCAATATGAGCATCATTGTCCTCTTCATCTTGGCCTTCAGCCGCCTCACAAAATTCACCATTTTCTCTCTGTATTTCATATTGAACCCTAAAACCTAATTGGTAATCAGACGAATAGAAAGGACTGGTTTGGTTACATGATACACTGTCTCAGAGTCTTTATCAGGTGATCTTTATAGATGAGAAATTTAGGGTTCAAAGGACCCTCAAACAAGAGACGAATAGAAGGGAGAGATTTTTTAGAGCACTGTACATTCAAGGAAATCTTCATTCTCAGAAGGCAGGCCCAATTCCTGATGGCTGGAAGTTGAAGAGTGAAGTCCAAAAGGACGGATCTAAAACCTCGTGCTACTGGTATCCAGCAACTGGTCAGCACTTTTTCACCTATGAACCTGATATTAGGAGCAGTGACCTGATAAATAAACACATATTAAAACGTTACATTAGATTTTTCTTCTCCGAATCCTAAGAAAGCTTCTGTGCTCAGAGGCTAAGGTTTCATAAAACAGAAACAGAACTGCAACGATACATATGATAATAAATAATGATAAGTTGGAACCATGCTAAAAAAATATGGTACAACTAAAAATGATCATGAAGCCTAAAGAGGGTAAATTTACTGAGGTATACCTCTCTGGTAAATCAAGGATTCGATGTTTTCCAACCCTAGCTAGGTCAGGCTCAGTAACGGCTCCATCATCCTCTTCATCTTGGCCTTCGCACGCCTCACAAACTTTTACCATTTTCTCTCCCTATTTCTGTCTCAGTGGAACCCTAAAATTTATTCAGTAATGAGAGGACCAAAGAGGAGAGGAGAAGTTTGTGCACAGATCTCAGTCTCAATGTGGTCAGTTTTATAGATGAAAAGGAGGGTTGTAAAAAATTTGGCTCATTTGAAATCAGTGGTATTAGGGTTCTGAAATCAGATATGGGATGTTATCTGTAGGTTTGGTAAGTAATGTTGTTACCTTAAAAAGAATAAAGAGAGGTTGCCAGGTGCAGTGTATGCTTCATTTCAAATTGGCAAGTAAATCTGTAAAATCTGGAAATCAACTTTGAGGCAGCGGTAAGTAAATTCTGCAAAAAACGATGTTATAAACATACTCTTGTTCTTGTAATCTAGTTTTTGGACATTAGAGCATCTCCAATGGGCTCTCTAAATGACATCAATCCATGTAAGGAAGATATTATGGATGACTGGTTACGGGAAGGATTGAAGTTTTTTCTTTTTTGGGTTTCCAATACCTGATAAAAAAATATTGACATCAATTCATGAAACAGCCATAAAATCACATGATAGATTTCAAAGCAAGTTCCGCAGAGGCATTTGAATGGGAAGACATGCACCCACAAGTCATTCTAATGGTCATACCAGTTAACGAGCAGCAACCATATACTAACACCTGCAAGGCATTCCAATACGCATATATTATATATACCAACACCAAAAACCATTCGGTTAGCGAAATTCCAATTTATATACTGGAAGGAACATCCAAGCACTTTCATAAATGTATAAGCATATTGCATCTCGTCCTTGTTCGTACTTGGTTTTGGACAACTTACATTACCAATTGTTTGCAAAACAAACCCAATGCATAAACTCAACTTTTGCCATGCAGCCTCCTCCAACTAAAATGAAAACCAATCATCCAGTAAAAATGAAGGTTAAAATTCTCAAATAGTTCAGTGTACATAAAGATCATACAGATGATGAGTAATTTAGTAGTGATCAATTCCATGATGCGATATTTTCTTGTACCAAACAGAGCTCTAAAACTTAAGAGTTCCATAAAAAGTATGTAGGATTTTCTCAGAGGGAAAAAACAGTTCCCCCGTTGATACTCTTCACCCAAGTGCTCTGAGTTGCAAGAGGTCCAAAACGTATACAGTTCCAAAAATAATTCTGTGCTAAACCTATGATCATAACTATCACCATCAAGAACCATAACGAGAATAATTGCTCAACAAATTGCACCTAATTGACAATAAACCATAATAATCACATTGGGAAGAGACTACTTCTCCAACTTAATTTGTATAAAATACCATCACGAGATCAATAAATCAATCAATTATCCAAAGCTTAATGTATCTCTACACGAGACTTCCACATAGTACTCAACACACAAGATGGCTAGCGACACAAATACACATGCCTTGTGAAGCAGATTCAGATATATAACTGATATTGATCAATACCTTAAGGGGCAAAATTAAATACCCCTTCGTGCATGCATTTATGAAAAGAAAACTACAATTCAGGCTTATATGAACATAACTGATCCGTTTTCCATGCGTGGGAGGTACATTAGAACGCTGCAACAAAAAAGGTATTTTAATTACAACAGCCACTGAACATTGTTAGATCCATTTTCTGTTGATACTAAAACAAGACTATTGCCAAAAACACACAAGACTGTTGCCAAGCCTATCTCATAAAGAATAAAAGCAGCGAAGAAACACCAAACCATAGTGACTTATCATTCAACAAAAAACAGACTTTGGTACAAAGCCTAAGGTACCTATTCTTAGAGGCACATGGTATGCACCATGCCTAAATTGGCACTAAGCTTAAAATTTGTCTCTTTTTTTAAAAGAATTTCATGCTTTGAAAGCAAATAGGGATTGGAAGTGGACCGAAAGCTGGAGAGAGTCCACTGGTTCAGATGAAGACAATAATTCGTAGCTGCCATAATTCCAAATACTTCGGATGAATACACACCAAAAAGAAGTAAAGCTGGTGTACTATACTTACAAGGAAGGAGGCTTTCTATTTATGCATTAAGTCCGCCATACACGTGTTGAAACAGATCTTCATTCATCAAATTCGTCCCAAGTTTGGACTGTTCTGAAAGGAAGGATAACTGGCAAATGGTACACACAGAGATCTTATGAAAGGGAAAATGCACTGTGATTGTTGCGGGGGAAAAAAAAAGAAAGAGAAAGAATCAACAATCTGCATGAAGAAGAAAGGCCTTCATTGATTTATTATCAAATTTACAATCACATAATTATATAAACCAAAAGAAAGCCTTTAAGAAGCTCAACAGATTTATATCAAGTCAATCACCAATCCTTTTAACCAAAGTATAACTACAATATATTGGATCTTGTTTACAACTTCATCAACAATGCCCTCCAGTTGAGATGTTTGCTTCTCTTCAAGTGAGTTGGCAGGCTTAGCCTGAGTTAGGAAATGTGAATGAGTGCAAATGGATGGCAGGGAGACATGAACGCTACCATACTAAGCCCATGACAATAGCCACAGACAAAAATGGGAATACATGCATTTAGGATTTGCATATACGAAGGGGACTTGATTTGCTGCGAGATATATATCATTGCACTCCAACCATGTTCTACCTAAAATTAAGGGTACGGTTCTACACGACCTGTTAGCAGGCCATTAAGTTATCTGCCAATAGGTCTATCGAGTAAGCCAATGCAGTTGCACTGGCTTCACAGCTTCTTCTCCTAGCTCTGCTTATCATCAGCTCCTGCAATCAATATGACTGAAATTGAATTAAAATACAAAATACTCTATATACCGAAACATGACATGTAGTCCAAAGATCTAGAGCTGAATCTATATGAGGGCAGTAGTTGATAGGTCCAAGTTGGAATATTCTCCATTCCCCTGTTGATTCTTTTAAACCAGGGACAGAGTACGTACTATGGCTAAATTGACACTAAGCACGCTTATAAAGCAAGTAGGAAGCATTGGAAATGAACTTAGACTTTGAGAGATCATCCACTTGGTTCAGAGATTAAGGCACACAAATAAAAAGAAGCCGTATATACTTACAAGGAAGGAGACTTTCTGCATATATTAAGTCCACAAGAGAAAGGTTTTCAAACGGATCCTTGATCAAGTTCGTCCCAAATTGGTCTATTCTGCGAGAAAGGAGAAAGGTGAAAGTTAAGTAAGGAAATCTTATAAGCATGTTCCCCCTCTTCAATTGTTGCAAAAAAGAAGATGTACAATGTGCATGAAGAAAAATGGCCTTTCATATCTATTATCAGATTTACAATCACATAATTATATACAACCAAGTGAGCCTTTAAGAGCTGAACAGATTTAGAGCTCATCGATAAGTAAACCTCTCAACTAACTATAAATACATGAATCATGTTTACAACTCTATCAACAATGCCCTCCTGCTAAGATTTTATATCTTCAAGTCACCTGGCAGACTCCCTTCCTTCTTCTGCTCAAATAAGTAGCTAGCTTCCCCTCAGCCCGTATTATTAGGAAATGTGGGAACATGTGGATTTGGAGGCATCTTTCCTGTGTTTCAAGAACTGTCCCATTAATGCCTTGTTGCCTTTGAAAGTTTAGGGTTAGAAGGACCCTCAAACAAAGAGGAAGTAGAAAGGAGATATTTCTGAGAGCATTGTTGAAGGAAAGAATCATTCTCAAATATGGCAGATAAGCATTCGGATGCCCCAATTCCCGATGGCTGGTTTCTGAGAATTCTTTGCTGAGATTGAAGCCTGTCTCCAAAAAATGGCTTTTGTTGATTCAAGACAACCACTTTTCCCAACATATGGACCAAGCCACCCCTTTCGACTCTTGTTTATCTGTATTTGCGAAAACAAATGAGATGTGCTTCATATTAATCTCTACGGCTGAATTTATATGAAACCTAGAACTTATAAAATTTATTTTTCATATGAACCATATATTCTAAAAGGGGATGTTAATTCTCACAGTTTGAGTCGGAAAATTAATATCAAATTCATCTCAACCTGAACCCTAACGAGCTAAAACGTTTTGTAAGTTCAGGGGAATTAGTGGATAAATGAAAATAAGATAAGGAAATATACCTCTTCTGGTAGATCATCGATTCGATAATTTTGAACTCTAGCTAGGTCAGGCTTTCCAATACCAGCACCATCATCGTCTTCATCTTCGCATTCGGAAGCCTCACAAATTTTGACCACTCTCTCTCCCTCTGAGTCTCGGTTTTTTACCAATTTTATTTTAAAAATCGTATCGCCGCGCGGCTATACTCATATAGTCTAGCCGTGCGGCTTTATTAAATAGTATAGCCGACCGGCTACTATAGTACAGCGCACGGCTTGTATAGCCGCGCGGCCATACTGGGTTTTCCCAAATTTTTTTAAAAAAATAAGATACCCCTTAAGTAGCATAATATGGATTTCTCTTTTTTTAAATTACTTTAATTAATAGTTTAAAAGTATCGCCACACGGCTACACTATAAATATAATATTTTAACGATATAGCTGCGCGGCTATACGCCATAAATATAATATTTTAATTGTAGAGCCGCTCGGCTATACACCTTGGATATATTATTCTTAAGGTATACCCTAAAAATATTATATCTTTAAAATGGTGCCTTGGGGAATAATATAGAGTTTCATGTCGTCAACTCTGCTAACTCGCCATCGATTTCAACTGAAGCAATACAATGCATGCTTCAAGTTCTGAAATTGAGCAATGTTTGTATTTTTACTGCTTTAATGTTGCCTGGGCTCCTATCATGTCTCCACTACTTCAACTCAGAAAACTGATGGATGCGTCTGATATACTACTTACGTGTTAGGTACATTATGTTATATTTACCTAGTAATTAGGTACATTATTTTATATTTACCTAGTATTTAGGTACATTGTCTTATATTTACCTAGTATTTAGGTACATTATGTTATATTTACCTAGTAATTAAGTATATTATCCTATATTTACCCAATAATTATATCATATTTACCTAGTAGTCAGGTAAATATTTGTTGGGAAGATATCATCAATAATTATCCTACTTTCATTGTTTTATATGAACTTCGTTTATGTCATGGCGGCAATAGAAGGATTCTAAATTTAAAATCTGAAATCTATTTAGAATGAAAGAATCGATATATTAATTTGGATTTTCAATTACTATTCTTTCCTTATTTACCTCAAATGATAAAATTGACACATGAAAAAATTAATAAAAGTCAATGGACCCAAATCTACAGCAAAAAAAGTGTGGACTAAACTCAATGACGGCTAGGAATTTTGAACTTAGATCAAAGAACCCCTTTTTTTTTTTTTTTTGATATAAACCAAAACAATAGGCTTAAAGTGATCATTATAAAAAAAATTAAAAAAAAAAAAAAAAACAGATAAAACAGGAAAGTGGTAAGTTTCTTTCTATCGATTGTTTTGGTGGTTTGCTTTTCTTACTTGCTTTTAGAAGTTTGGGGTGGATGGATTACCTATTTAGTTGATTACAGAATTAATTAGAATTTAGAGTTTCCTATTCCTATTCCTCTATATTTAAAATTGATGATATTTTTATTGACAAAATAAATTTAAAGAAAAAAACAAAACAAAACAATACAAGAAACTGGACTAAAGCCCAAAATTGGAAGACAATTTATTCAACAACAGGGCCATGAAGTTATAAATATAGGGGCAATTCAAATTAAAAGCCAAGCAATGTAAAAACGAAATAGAGAAACCATATCAGCTTTTTAATTATTGTCAATATTTTTTTGGGAGTTTCACTAAAACACTCAAAATGGGGGCTGAAATTATTAAAAAAAAAACCCAACACCCAAAACACTTTATAAACACACCCAAAACTCATCATTACACACACTCAAAACCCATTTATAAACACACCCAAAAAATATACAATTGTTAATTTTGGGGTTGATTTTGGGTGTGTTTCTATATTTAAATAGTGTTTGGGTTTATTTATAAATACATGTCTAGGATTGAGTTTATTTATAAATTTGAATATTTTTTTTGTGAATTTATCTTTTATTTGTTGCACTGCAACTTGAAAAGGATAACTCAATGAACTCGATTGGGTTTATCGGTATTTTGTTTTTGGTTAAGATTGGTGTATAATTTTATCCTATCATACTAGTTTGAAAACTAAAATGAATTAATAGATTTGTTTAGTTCGATTATGCTATTAGGTTGATGCTTAAATCAATCTAACATGAATCATAAATTGGCCGAGTTGCTTATCCCTATTTACTTATCATGCCCAACAAATTTATGACTCCGCCCTTAGAGTGATGTTGCTACTACTATCATGAGTCCAAGGGCAGGAGATTCAACACATAAGTACATGTACAATACAACTATTGTACGTTTGCTTTTTAAAACAAGTGAGACGTGTATTGAACACGAATGTATTATTGAAAAATACATACGTATGTGTATAATAAAATATTAAATAAACGTGAAAGTGCTAAATTCTTTATACCAGTAATAACTCTGGAAAAGTAAAAAATTAAAAGGGGAAAATAGAGACTCGGGTAATGGCCTAATAGTAATGAATAACTACTCTTATCGATAAACGAAAATTGGGGAAAAAATTTAAAAGACAAAGGATCCCAGTACATATATAATAGTATAGCCGCACAGCTCACAGCTTGACTGGGTTTTTCTTTTGTTTTAATCGCCTTTAATATATATATTATGGGATCCGATGTTTCAATAATACATCCGTATTCTGTACACGTCTTAAAGACTTGGAAAAATTCACATTTTAAAAAAAAAAAAACAAACGTACAATACTTGTATTGTACATCTACGTATGTATTTCTCATGTTTAATACACTTATTTTTTTACAAAATTTTCAATAAGACACAAAAAATTCATGTATTATACAAATAATTCTCACATATTATTGAATAAAAATAATATACATGAAAAGAATTATATTAAAATCTTATATAGTGGCTGATTAATATCTACTTTGGATATGTTGAAACTAGCAAATTAATCTCTAAAGTATAAACTAATGCAACATGGATGGTGCTTTTTTCTTAATTAATTATTTATTAACGATATGGAAATAGTCGGATTTGACTGAGAAAAGTAAAGAATATGGACCAAATTGATAGTCCGATCAAATTTCTCGAAACAAAGGCGTAGCCCGGCTTAAAGGGAGTAACCTTACCTGTAGAACACCAGCAGCAGCTAAAATCTGCTGCCCGTCGTAGATGGATGCAATTGGTTTCCTGGCTTCCACAATTTGCTTCACTAATGCAATAACTTTCTCATCCAATGCCAAATATTCTAAGGCTCGACCTCTAGGGATTACAAGAGCATCATAACTTGAGACATATAGAGCTTCAAAGTCAGCTGTTAAAGTGAAATTATGGCCCGGCTTCTCACTGTATGTTTGGTCACCTTCAAAATCAGGGACAGCAGTTGCACAGATTTCACCAGCTTTCTTCTTGGGGCAAACTGCATCAACATGGCATCCTAGAGCTTGAAGATACTGAAAAGGCACAATTACCTCATAATCTTCCATGAAGTCCCACAAGTGTTGAGGGAGAGAAAGTGAATGATGCTTAGTAACTGTGAGAAATATAAAATTTTGATCTTTGACTAGAATAATACGTAATAACAATTAGTTCATAAACAAACAACATGCGGCTTTAACGTTCTTGTCAAGGGGTTTACTAGATTTACAGTGAATTATAACACGTAGCCAAACTTGATTTATGGACCATCTTATCATTGTTAAATAACCAGCTTTCCAAACGTGGTGGGCTTTAAGGTTTGTCAAGTTGTATAACTTTTGGCACTGTAGGTAGAGAAGTTTAGGTATGCTTCAGAGGATTTGGTTTTAAAGGGAAAACAAACAACTGGTTTCAAGAAAATAGGTTCTTATGAAATCTGACAGCAACTAATTTATGGGTCTAGGGCAGTAGTAGCATTTCGAATTTGGAGACCTAATTGGCTTGGGTATTGGAGGTATTCAGTTTTTGGAGAAGGGTCAACTTTCCGAAAAATTAAAGTAAAGAAGTCATTTAAAATTCATAAAGGATGTACTTGTCTATATATCATGTTTAGAATCCATAATTCAAACAACTTGAAAAATGACCAGTATGCATGATTGGATTTACTTTCACAAGTTCACAACTCACACAAATGACCTGACAAACAAGTATTCCAATGGGCAATGGACCCAGGTAAGCAGACCAATGAATCATACCACCAAAACATTGAAAAAACACATAGGAATGAATGATGGAAACTTATCACACCAGAATTGTGCAAATCTGGTAAAGCCTATTCAGGTTATTTTCACTATCTTTCAGAAGTATCTGTAAAGGGGCAAATCTCGATACTATATATACTCAATATTGATTGGCATCACAATTTCATATTTCTCATTGCACTACGAAGGAAAATAAAACTTACCCCACAGAGAAACAGGATCCTCCTATCTGAACCAGTTATGTTACCTCCTAGTGCCTTCACAAAAAGCCTAATTAACTCAGGATGGCCTTCATATGTAGCCCAGTAATTATATTACCATCAACAACACACGCCGACGAGGTCTCAGGTTCCACCCAATAAGCACCTGCAGCAACAAGTACAGGTCTGACAGCTGGGAAGGCCGTACACTTCCTACCTTTAACCGAGCCTGCAGCTGCTAGGACAAGTTGCCCATGGCAAACCGAAGCAATTGGCTTTCAGGAGTCAGAAAACTTTCTCACCAATTCTAAAACCGATGCATCCAAAGCAAGATATTCAGGTGCCCGTCCTGCTGGTATTATTAATCCATCAAATTTGTTAAATTCCATGTCATCAAATGTTGCCTTGAGTGCGAAATTGTGACCACGTGATTCAGAATAAGTCTGCAACCAAAGAAAAAAAATACAGAAAACCAAAAAACAAATTAAAACAAAGGGGGACCAGAAAGACATGTAGCATTTGAAGATTTATAAATTAAACACAGATCACGATTCAGCAAACCTAGGTAGCCCATTATCGGATTATTTTCACTTAGAGACGAGAGCACTAATGCAATTTTGTTTATTGAACATGGTGTACGCAGTGACGTTGGAGCCAAGAATTTGTTCACGCTGTCTTGTCCCCAGAACTCAAGCTCAAATCAGGTTGGTTCTCTAGCTCATAATGAATGAGCAAGCACTCTAACAAAACTCCTAACATGTGTTCTTGTTTGAGCTTACTTTAGTCTCGCTGTCCACACAACCTAGAACTATAACCTACGGATTGCTATTTGTCAGTCTAATGAGTGGCTCTAATAAACAATAAAACTTATTCATTTTGTCTATATTTAAGGCTACCAACGATTGGCTGATGCAAAAAACTAAACTTGAAAGCGTGATGTTCGTTCGTAAACTTGACAAACTAATTTCCAGTCCCAACAGATTCCAAATTTTAGAGGAGGCAACATAATCCCATATGTGATAATTGTAAGCACTTCAATCTTTGAGACATATTTCTTGTTTTGGGTTTACAAATTCAAGTGAAATAAGCATTCAATCTTCAATCTAATTGAGTGTGCTTAATTACAGAGCATGGAAAAGACCAATTGACAGTGCTCAAGTGATGTAATGAGGCTAAAGAAAACGATTTTCATTAAAAATAGAAAAAGGAAAAGGCAAAAGAGGCAGAGGTGGGTGACCTGGTGAGCAGGAGAAAGTTGATGAATGGCTGTGCGGCAGATATCACCAGCTTTCTTGCCAGGACAGACGGCATCAACGGACACTCCATATGCCTGCAGTGCTTGAAATGGAACCATCGCCTCGTAGTCTTCCTCGTAGTCCCCCAATACCAACAACACCCTGCGTTCACCTTTCGCCATTTTCTTGGAATTTGAGAGAGAGAGAGAGAGAAAGAGAGAGAATTTGGTTGGACTAAACTCTCACATGGATAAAGGAATCGAATATGTTAAAACGTAAAGCCGGGCGGCTATACTCTATACATAGAACATGTTCAACGCTATAGCCGACCGGCTATACTATATAAATATACCGCCGCCCGGCTATACTCTATAAATAGAATATCCAACAGTATTGCCGTTCGGCTATGCGATATAAATAGAATATGTTAAAACGTATAGCCGTCCGTCTATACGATATAAATAGAATATTCTAAACATATAGCCGCCCGGCTATACTATATAAATAGAATATGTTAAAAGTATAGCCGTTCGGCTATACTATTTAAGTAGAATATTTTAAACCGCACCACTTTCCCAGCGACCACCCCCTGCCCAGATCCATCATCGCCACACCATCTTCTTCGTCATTGTCATCATCTTCGTAAAATTCCGAAAAATTATCGTCTGATCTCAAAACTGGATGAAATTCTGAAGAGTTGTGGGAGAAATTCAGAGCAGGGTTTGTTGTTGTTGTTTTGCTGATAGTAACACTCGTCAAGTCTCCAAATTGGCGGTGGCGTGCTACAAAGCCCTCCTATTTTCCCTACCAATACACCGCGGTTCAACTTTTTCACCATTGATGATCCTTCTTGCTTTTTTCTTTCGCTTACCACACCCCAACTATCATTCATGGACAGATCCATCAAGCCCACCACCACCAAAACCAAGAATCCAGCTATCATTATTTTGTTTTTTGTTCGAAACCTTTAGAAATTTCATTGAAAAAACCTGGTCTGCAAAAAATACAACAGGGGTGGAATATTTTGGTTCATTTTAATTTCCATTTGGAGGGTGCGGGGAGGCAGCCAAGGTATATGTTACAGACAAAGCTTCAATCTAGCTCCCTCTCAGTCTCAGAGACACACCTCCGCTGACGCTGATTGTTCGGGCTTCTCGCTGGATGGGCCTGCTTTTTTATTTATTTATTTAATATTTATTATTATTAATTATAATTTTTTTATTTATTTAAATGTTATTCTAGTTTTCTTATTAATTTTTTTTTTTCCTTTTTGTTTGATTTATTTTACTCGAAATTACAAGTTTATCCTTATAATTAATGGAAAATTGGATGAAATTCACACAAATTAACGGCAAATGCTAAATTTGCCATTTAATTAATTCGGTTGTTAAATTTGCTTACTTTTTAATTCGGGGGATTAAGTTCGATTGGGATCCTAGTTCGGAGTCGTGTGAGACAATTTACTCTAAATTAATTTAAGTTATTTTAAATGAAACTGAATTATTATCCCATTGAATTTGTTAAATAAATTATTTTCATATTTGAATATTATTTTCATATTTGAATTATATTTGGATCAAAATTCGATGCATTGAGAGGTAAATCTCTAGTTTGATTGAGTTGCAATGGAAGGGTCACAGGATAAACCTAGAATGTGATATACCACTTGAGACTTGGACAATTACTTGTGCTGGACAGACCAAATTCTGGACTTTTTATGTACATATAATTGGTCACAGGAACATCTGATAGCATTGTTAAGCCTTCAACTCTGAAGATCAAATATTTGAGAAGATAAGGGGTGATGTGATGAATAGGCCCTCTTGCTTCTATTTTTCCCTTCTCTGCTATGTTTTTTATTTATTAAATAAATTGTTGATTCACAGGAATGAAAATCTAATATCATGTGAAAAATACACTCTAGATGCAGCAACAAACGAAAAGGACACTTCGGTGAGTGATAAATCAAATTTCAATATAAAGCACAAGTACTAGGCATATGAATATATTATCCCAATAGTCACAATATTCATCGCCTCTGCTGATAAATCAAAATTTCAATACAAAAGCAGTACAAGTAATAGGCATATGAATATGTTATCCCAATAGTCACGATATTCATTCCCTATGTTAGGAATAGCATACAATATGAGATTACCTCTTCCCCCTCTTTTTGTGTGCGTCTCATTGCCCTCCTGTCCTCAATCCGCGCTTGTCTATGTCTTCGCCTTCGGTACAACATCAACCTCTCTCTAATCTGTCGTCACTGTGACTCCTCCCACTCTTTGGGGTCTGGTTCGATCAATTTCGGATTTTCCTCCCTTGCTATTTGGTGGTTTGTCACTTTGTGTTTGGCTTTGGGCCTCGTATCCTCTGGTCCCTACCATGTCTGCACCCATTTCTGATGATGATACCTTAGTTTCTAGGGTAGACTTCATGGTTCTTAAGCGCCTGTGCACTGATGCCTATTCTGACAAGCCCATGGAGACTGGTCCAGTGGGGTCTCCTAGGAGCCTTCCTTAACGTGTAATTGGAGCATTCGTGGCTGATGCCAGTTTTGTTATTGTTGCGTGGTGTTTTTTCAGTTATCCTCTCAGCGCATCTTTGGCTCTTCTCCTGTCTTAAGGATTATGGATTCATAGGAAGTTTCCTTGTTAATGTTGGGATGATACGGGGTGAAAGACTTTTTTGTTTCGTTTTTTCCTAGGCTGTTCGATGTACTTTGTCTGTTCTCTTGTGTTGCTTCATGCAAACTTCTCTATTTCCAGCGCCATTCGTTATTGGAGGTGGATAGAGCTGGTGTGCTTTGTGGGTTCTCTCTTTCTTTCTGGAGCTTTGGTGTGCTTTGTGGGTTCTCTCTTCCTACCCTGGAGTTTGTTTCCTAGGAATGTTTCAAAGAGGCCACTGTATCGTATCGTTCTATGTACGCTATTTCGATTGCCCGGCTACGAACTTCCAATTCTGCCCGGCTACGAACTTCCAATTCTGCCCGGCTACGAACTTCCAATTCTGCCCGGCTACGAACTTCCAATTCTGCCCGGCCGCAGTCTTCTCGTGCCCATCCAATATCCCGTGCCCGGATTAGGTGGGTTTCCACCACCCCCAAACAAGAAGGAAATATAAAAGCTAATGCATTTAATAAGGATAAACTTGGAAAACAAAAACTAACATGTGTGATGCATTAATGATATTGTTTTAAGTATAAGAAAAGTGATATTTGTCATGAGGTGAAAGGAGGTCTAAAAAAGAAGATGGCTTTTTATCACAAATGGTCCTTCAGGTTTACAAAATTATCACGAATCGTCCCTCAGGTTTTTTTGTGACACTAATAGTCCTTTAGGTTATCATCCACCCATCAAAATGGTCCTTCTGTTAGTTTCTGTCAAAACTTCCGTTACAATCACGTGCTCAGCTTGCTTTTTGAACTAATAATATCATCGTTCCACTCAACCTTCGACCAAACCCAACCGTCAGAACCCTTTCCCTCCATTTCCTCATGGTCCTTCCATTTTGGCGCTCTAAACTGCACTTTATAACCTTTTCCCTCCATTTCCTCCTCGGGCCCTCCTCTCTATTTTGGGGTTCCAGTTGGCACAATTAGGGTTTTTTGGGTATTTAATTGATAAAGCTGGTCTGCAAAAGGAATATCTGGGTTCGGAAGAGTCAAATACGCATTATTCTTCTTACAAAAGTGACTAGATGGATGAGCCCGAGGAGTTCTTTCGAAAAGGGGGGAAACAGCCAAAGTATACAGGTTAGTTTTTTAATCTTTGTTAAAGTGTAAACTACAGCTTGTCTGCAAATGTGGTTGCTTTGTTTTGTGGAACATGTGGTGGTATTTTGATTGTGCAATATTTTTAAACCTTTTATATTTGTCAATGATATCTTTATGTTTTTCAGTTTGGGTTTATCTTTGGTGTGGACCATGTTTGTTTTATTTGGTTTGAGAATTATTGAAATATGTCGTGTACTACTACTCTGTTTATTAGTAGTTGAGTTATGTATCATTTGTTACTTAATTGTTAGGTCTGTTTTTTACCTAATTTTTTTAGGTATGCGATGCTGATATGAAATATAAAAAAAAAAAAAAAGATAAAATTAAGTTAAAAGAAGGCTTTTGGCATTATTTAATTATTTCTTCTTGGCAGATCCTGATAAATTTAGTCTTGAGATTCATCATGGAGGCAAACTGATTAAAGGGGGAGGCATTGATGAATATGTAGGAGGAGAGGTTGTGTTTCTTGACCACGTAGATGGAGATAAAATGTCATGGATTGAGCTTGTGAGGATTGTAGAACAATTAGGATGTGAAAGGAATGAATTAGTAATGATATTAATAACGTTAGTATGAATTTACATTAATATTTTTAAACAAACAACAAATAATAATTACCAAATGAGCGTATTCAATTCCCAGCAGAGGCAGCAGCACAGACAGAGAGAGGATCTGAATTTTTTTTTGCATTCTTCCTCTGCAATGGCAGAATCAGAGATGTAGACGAAGGATTTTGCGCGACGAAACTACATTTTCGTTGCCCAAACTATCGTCGCCCAAAACAATATTTTCGTCGCGTGAAATAACTTTTTTCGTCGCGCTAAGGTGGATTTTACGCGACGAAATTTAAAACCGTCACGCTAGGAAATCTTTCGCGACGATCAATGTCGTCGCACAAAATTTCCATCGCGCATGTTTTCGTCTTTTTGCGAGACGAATTTTTGTTTTCGTTGCTAGAGTGTATTTTGCACAACGAATTTCCTTTTGTCGCGCAAATAGTAAAATGTAGTAGTGATACGAGTTAGCCTAAATACCATTGGTAATTCATGAAAAAGGAAAACTAAGCGCAACATCAAATGGTTAGTTAATAGGTAGGTGAATAAGAGGCTAGATCGAATTACTAGTGGTGAATTCATTGTCCTAGTACTTTTATCAATTTGAATTTCTCATCCTTATGTTTCATGTGTTTCTACTTGTTTTGTCTTTTAATTTCGTTGGTAATTAAATCATTCTTTCAAAAACCCTTTTTGTGTTTACGTGAGTATGCTACGTGTTTAATTTCTTGTTTATATAATTATAGTAGTTAAAGTATTTTGTGAAGTAAATTAGGTTAGACTAATTGGTAGTTGAACTCAATCCTCTTGGGAATGACCTCGTATTTGCCATACTATATTACGATTGACCAGGTGCACTTGCGAGTATAATTTTCGTTTAGACTAATCTTTATAATCTCCATTTTTTAGGTTGTCTAAAATTCACAACATTACAGCTACAATTCAGAGGGATTTTGGGTTGGAACCTTCTTCCCAGCAAATCTATAGAGCTAGAAAGAAGGCATGTACATTGAACAAGTGTGATTTTGTGGATCAATTCCACAAATTGCATGACTATTGTGAGGAATTGAAGAAAGCAAATCCAGGAAGCACAGTGGTGCTTAAAACAAAGATGGATGGTGATCAAAAAAGATTTCATAGGCTGTACATATGTTTGGATGCTTGCAAGAGAGGGTTTATAGAAGGATGTAGGCCTCTAATAGGTATGGATGGAGCTTTTATTAAAGGACCACATCCTGGACAATTATTGGCAGCAGTTGGATCAGATGGGAACAATGGAATGTTTCCTATAGCTTATGCAATTGTGGAGATTGAGAATAAGGAAACTTGGGTATGGTTCATCCAACATTTGATAAGGGATTTAAGGATTGAAAATGGTCATGCTTACGCTTTTATATCAGACAAACAAAAAGGTTTAAGCATTGCAATTGCTGAGTTGATACCCAATGCAGAACATAGACACTGCGTGAGGCATTTCTACAACAACTTTAAGGGATCACATCCTGGATTAACATTGAAGCAAATTTTGTGGGATGCAGCTAGAGAAACAACAATCCCTTGGTGGAAATGTCAAATGGAAAGGATGAAGATGGAAAGTGAAGCAGCTTGGAAGTGGTTGCATCCAAAGCCAGCCCAACACTGGAGTAGATCTCACTTTAAAACCCATTATAAGTGTGATATGTTGTTAAACAACCTGTGTGAGGCCTTTAATTCTTCCATAGTGAAGGCAAGGGACAAGCCAATTCTTCAAATGCTTGAGAGTATAAGGACCAATCTCATGGTGAGAATGGCAAATAGGAGGGTTGCTGCATTTAAATGGAAAAAATCAGTGGGACCAAGGATTGAAAAAATTGTTGAAAAAAACAAGGTTGAGTCTGGGTATTGCATTCCAATATTATCTGGGGATATGAAGTACCAAGTGACAAATATGGAAGGGGGACAATATGCTGTAGATCTTGGAACAAGATCATGCTCTTGTATGAGATGGGATCTTTGTGGGATCCCATGTTCTCATGCAATCGCTTGCATTAGTAGAAGAAGGCAAGACCCTTTTGACTATGTAGATGAATGTTACAAAAAGGCTGCTTATCTGAAGTCTTATAACCCTATTATATCACCAATGCCCAG